AATGAGAATAAACAGCTTAGAGAGGAATATAAATGACTTGATGGAACTGAAAAACACAACACAAGAACTTTACGAAGCATAAACAAGTTTCAATAGCCAAATCAACCAAGCAGAAGAAAGGATAGAGACAGAAGATCAATTCAATGAAATAAAACAAGACAGCAAGATGAGAGGAAAAAAAATGAAAAGAAATGAACAAAGCCTCCAAGAAATATGGGATTATGTGAAAAGACCTAATCTACGTTTGATAGGTGTACCTGAATGTGATGGAGTGAATGAATCCAAGTTGGAAAACACTCTTCAGGATATTATCCAGGAGAACTTCCCCAACCTAGCAAGGCAGGCAACATTCAAATCCAGGAAATACAGAGAACACCACAAAGATATTCCTCAAGAAGAGCAACCCCAAGAGACATAGTCATCAGATTCACCAGGGTTGAAATGAAGGAGAAAATGCCAAGGACAGCCAGAGAGAAAGGTTGGGTTACCCACAAAGGGAAGCCCATCAGACTCAGCGGATCTCTCAGCAGAAACCCTACAAGCCAGAAGAGAATGGAGGCCAATAGTCAACATCCTTAAAGAAAAGAACTTTCAACCTAGGATTTCATATCCAGCCAAACTAAGCTGCATAAGGAAAGGAGAAATAAAATCCTTTATGAACAAGCAATTGCTGAGAGATTCACTATCACCAGGTCTGCCTTATAAGAGCTCCTGAAAGAAGCAGTATACATAGAAAGGAACAAACAGTACCAGCCACTTGAAAACGTGCCAAATGGTAAAGACCATTGACACAATGAAGAAATTGCGTCAACTAATGGGCAAAACAACCAGCTAGTATCAAAATGGCAGGATCAAATTCACACATAACAATATTAACCCTAAATATAAATGGGCTAAATGCCCCAATCAAAAGACACAGACTGGCAAATTGGATAAAAAGCCAAAACCCACTGGTGTGCTTTATCCAGGAAACAATCTCATGTGCAAGGACACACATAGGCTCAAAATAAAGGGATAGAGGAAGATTTACCAAGCAAATGGAGAGAGAAAAAAAAAAAGAGTAGAAGTTGCAATCCTAGTCTCTGATAAGACAGATTTTAAGTCAACAAAGATCAAAAGAGACAAAGAAGGGCATTACATAATGGTAAAAGGATCAATGCAACAAGAAGAGCTAATGATTCTAAATATAAACACACCCAGTATAGGAGCACCCAGATACATAAAGCAAGATCTTAATGACCTACAAAGGGGCTTAGACTCTCATACAATAAAAGTAGGAGACTTTAACACTCCACCATCAATATTAGACAGATCGATATTAACAGGGACATCCAGGACTTGAACTCAGACCTCGACCAAGCAAACCTAATAGACATCTACAGAACTCTCCACCCTGAATCCACAGAATATACATTCTGCTCAGCACCACATCACACCTACTCTAAAATTGACCACATAATTGGAAATAAATCACTCCTCAGCAAATGTAAAAGAACGAAAATCATAACAAACAGTCTCTCAGACTACAGTGCAATCAAATTAGAACTCAGGACTAAGAAACTAACTCAGAACCACACTGCTTCATGGAAACTGAACAACTGGCTCTTGAATGTTGACTGGATAAACAATGAAATGAAGGCAGAAATAAAGATTTCTTTGAAAACAAAGAGAACAAAGACACAACATACCATAATCTCTGGGACACATTTAAAGCAGTGTCTAGAGGGAAATTTATGGCAATAAATGCCCACATGAGAAACAAGGAAAGATGTAAAATTGACACCCTATCATCAAAACAGAAAGAACTAGAGGAGCAAAATTTAAAAAACTCAAAACCTAGCAGAAGACAAGAAATAACTAAGATAAGAGCAAAACTGAAGGAGATAGAAACACAAAAAACCCTTCAAAAAATCAACAAATCCAGGAGCTGGTTTGTTGAAAAGATCAACAAAACAGACCACTAGCCAGATTAATAAAAAAGAAAAGAGAGAAGAATCAATAGATGCAATAAAAAACGATAAAGGGCATACCACCACAGATTCCACAGAAATACAAACTACCATCAGAGATTACTACAAACAACTCTATGCACATATATCAGTGAACCTGGAAGAAATAGATAAATTCCTGGATGCTTGCACCCTCCCAAGGCTAAACCAGGAAGAAGTCAAAACCCTGAATAGATCAATAACAAGGGCTGAAGTTGAGGCAGCAATTAATAGCCTACCACCCACAAAAAAGCCCAGGTCCAGATGGGTTCACAGCCAAATTCTACCAGACATACAAAGAGTGGCTAGTATCACTCTTTCTGAAACTATTCCAAACAATCCAAAAAGAGGAAACCCTTCCCAAATAATTTTATGAGACCAACATCATCCTGATACCAATACCTGGCAGAGACTCAACAAACAAAGGAAACTTCAGGCCAATATCCATGATGAACATAGACACAAAAATCTTCAATAAAATACTGGCAAACCGATTGCAACACCATATCAAAATGTTTATTCCATCATGATCAAGTAGGCTTCATCCCGGGGATGCAAGGCTGGTTCAACATACGCAAATTTATAACCATAACACACCACATAAACAGAACCAAAGATAAAAACCACATGATTATCTCGATAGATGCAGAGAAGGCCTTTGACAAAATTCAATAGCACTTTATGCTAAAAACTCTCAATAAACTAGGTATTGATGGAACATATCTCAAAATAATAAAAGTTATTATGGCGAACCCAGAGCCAATATCATACTGAACAGTCAAAAATTGTAAGTATTCCCTTTGAAATCTGGCACTCGACAAGGATGCCCTCTCTTACCATTCCTATTGGAAGTTCTAGACAGAGCAATCAGGCAAGAAAAAAAAATAAAGGGTATTCAATTAGGAAAGGAAGAAGTCAAATTTTCTCTATTTGCAGATGACATGATTGAATATTTGGAAAACCCCATTGTGTCAGCCCAAAATCTCCTGAAATTGATAAGCAACTTCAGCAAAGTCTCAGGATACAAAATCAATGTGCAGAAATCACAAACATTCCTATACACAAATGACAGACTAAAAGAGAGCCAAATAAAGAGCGAACTCCCATTCGCAATTGCTACAAAGAGAATAAAATACCTAGGAATACAACTAACAAAGGATGTAAAGGACCTCTTCAAGGAGAACTATGAACCACTGCTTGAGGAAATAGGAGAGAACACAAACAGATAGAAAAACAGGGCCGGGCGCAGTGGTTCACGCCTATAATCCAAGCACTTTGGAGGCCAAGGCAGGTGGATCACCTGAGGCCGGGAGTTCAAGAAAAACATTCCATGCTCATAGTTAGGAAGAATCAGTATCATGAAAATCGCCATACTGCCCAAAGTAATTTATAGATCAATGCTATCCCCATCAAGCTACCTATGACTTTCTTCACAGAACTGGAAAAAAATCACCTTAAACTTCATATGGAACCACAAGAGAGCCCACACAGCCAAGACAATCCTAAGCAAAAAGAACAAAGCTGGAGGCATCATGCTACCTGACTTCAAACTATACTACAAGGCTACGGTAATCAAAACAGCATGGTACTGGGACCAAAACAGAGATATAGACCAATGGAACAGAACAGAGGCCTCCAAGGCAACACAATATATCTACAACCATCTGATCTTTGAAAAACCTGACAAAAAGAAGCAATGGGGAAAAGATTCCCTGTTTAATAAATGATGTTGGGATAACGGACTAGCCAAGTGCAGAAAACAGAAACTGGACCCTTGCCTGATACCTTACACTAAAATTAACTCCAGATGGATTAAAGACTTAAACATAAGACCAAACACCATAAAAACCCTAGAAGAAAATCTAGGCAAAACCATTCAGGACATAGGCATAGGCAAGGACTTAAAGACTAAAACATCAAAAGAACTGGCAACAGAAGCCAAAATAGACAAATGGGATCTAATTAAACTGCAGAGCTTCTGCACAGCAAAAGAAACAATCATTAGAGTGAACTGGCAACCAACAGAATGGGGAAAAAATTTTGCAATCTACTCATCTGACAAAGGGCTAATATCCAGAATCACAAAGACCTAAAACAGATTTACAGGAAAAAAACAAAACCATTCAAAAGTGGACGAAGGACATGAAAGACACTTTTCAAAAGAAGACATATATGAGGCCAACAAACATATGGAAAAATGCTCATCATCACTGGTCATTAGAGAAATGCAAATCAAAACTACATTGAGATACCATCTCATGCCAGTTAGAATGGCCATTCATGAAAAAATCTGGAGACAACAGATGCTGGAGAGGATGTGGAGAAATAGGAACACTTTTACATTGTTGGTGGGAGTATAAATTAGTTCAACCATTGTGGAGGACAGTGTAGTGATTCCTCAAGGACCTAAAAATAGAAATTCCATTTGACCCAGCAATCCCATTACTGGTATATATCCAAAAGATTACAAATTGCTCTGCTATAAAGACATATGCACACATATGTTCATTGTAGCACTGTATACAATAGCAAATACCTGGAACCAACCCAAATGCCCACTGATGGTAGACTAGACAAGGAAAATGTGGCACACATATACCATGAAATACTACTCAGCCATAAAAAATAATGAGTTTGTGTCCTCTGGAGGCATAGGGATGAATCTGGAAACCATCATTCTCAGCAAACTGACACAAGAACAGAAAAGCAAACACCACATGTTCTCACTCATAGGTGGGTGTGGAACAATGAGAACGCATGGACACAGACAGGGGAGCATCACACAGTGGGGTCTGTTGGGGGGGACTAGGGTAGGGACAGGTCGGGGTAGGGAGGTTAGCAAGGGATAACATGAGGAGATATGCTACATATAGGTGACAGGGGGATGGAGGCAGCAAACCACATTGCCATATATGTACCTATGCAACAATCCTGCATGATCTGCTCATGTACCCTAGAACCTAAAGTACAATAAAAAATAAAACATTAAAAAAATGGAATATCTTTTAATACCTTAATTTCAGCTGGTCTGTAGTAGGATCTGTTGGGATCTTCCAATGATGTTCTATACCCATCTCTCAAGAAACGTTTAAATCCATATTTTCCTTTTAATTTTCTAACCACTTTATCAAGTGTCTGGCTAAACAGAACTTCATCATCCAGGGCAAATGCAGGATAACTGATGCAGGGGAGGAGGGCAGCATCTGTGTTCTGGAGGCAAAGAGAAAGAGAGACTGTGAGTGTCCACAATGATGTGATCAACACAGCCCAAGGAGAATGATAGAGATGAAAAACCAGTGAGGTTATGCAGTCAAAAGTGAGTGTGCTCTGCTCACAGGGTCAGACAGATATTTCTGTGGCATACTCCAGCAAACCCTACAGAGGAGGTAAATCTTTATTTGATAATAGTATTTTCAAGGTTCAATGGGCTGAAACGTCAAAATACTAATTAAAACAGTGCACAAAAATTTAATAGTTGTCACAAGTTAGTCTGTTGCAACAATTTGGTTATAACAATAAAAAAGAGAAAACAATCAAAATGTCCAACAATTAGTTAAGTAAATTTGCAACTATTAAAATTTATATTGTGGAAATCTGTTTATTGGTATGGGACGATATCTATTCACAGAGCTACGTCATCTTTCAATATAAAAAGCACTCTTCTAGCTTTGTAAAATAAAAACGTTATGGCCGGGCGCGGTGGCTCACGCCTGTAATCTCAGCACTTTGGGAGGCCGAGGCGGGTGGATCACGAGGTCAAGAGATAGAGACCATCCTGGTCAACATGGTAAAACCCTGTCTCTACTAAAAATACAAAAAATTAACTGGACATGGTGGCACGTGCCTGTAATCCCAGCTACTCAGGAGGCTGAGGCAGGAGAATTGCCTGAACCCAGGAGGCGGAGGTTGCGGTGAGCTGAGATCGCGCCATTGCACTCCAGCCTGGGTAACAAGAGCGAAACTCAGTCTCAAAAAAATTAAATAAATAAAAAATAAAAATAAAAATGTTATATGTGTTTAAAAATACGTCAAAACATATATACTCAAATGTTGTTACCCTAAGATTATATCAGAGGGCTAGCATGAGTGGGTATTATATTATTTGCTTATTTGGGGAGTTTTTTTTTTTTTTAATGACAATCTTACATATATAAGGCAGTTGCTTTTGAATAACTAAATTATTCTACTTTGGGTGTTTTCTAAATAACAGGACCACAAATAATCCCCAGAAAATTATGCAATTAGGTAGGATTAAGCATACAGAAGTTCATCAAGCAAGGGGAAAAAGTCAATTGAATGAGCGAAAAGAAATAAGAAATGGAAGGTTATTTTATTCAAAAGAAATCTATACTATGAAAAATATTTTTCTAATATTCCATGGCAAAAAAATAATTCATCTTGGCCCGATGTTGCTACTCCCTCAAAAGAAAAGTCTATTTTTCTATAGCCCTGCAAAAGATTTAAAGGCCAAAGCAGCCCTGTCCACAACTCCTGTCCACTTCCTAAGACCTCCCAAGGCCAGAGGAGTAAGGGACAATACCTATCATGTCTACTTATCTCTTCTGGACGACCACTAATATTTGAGAGCAGTTTCTTGGAAATGAAGGTAAAACTACATGGAAATCATAAACAATAGTTTATGTTAAATTTATCATTATTAAATGTCTCACATGTGATCTTGATTCTCTGGGTAACAGCGAGCACAAAGTTTGCCTGTTGCGATTGTGAGCATCGAGATCCACAAATATAACTGACCATGAACAACCCTGGAAAGAGAAAAAGAAAAACATTACCTAAGTTAAGAAAAAAGACTTGTACAACATTTGGCATTTGGACTGTGAAAACTTCACAAAAATGCTGACACTGACTGCATTGAGTGTGGAGTTCCAGAAGACTTTGTTTATACTTTCAATATTTCTCAAATTTACTGCAATAAACATGAATTTTATAATCATAAAAATGTTCTTATATTTTCCCTAGTTTTCCTCGACTTTCTTATAAATCAAAGTGTACTTATTATGAGATTGCCAATATATTAATGGTATTCATTTTAATGAAAATACAGTTAGTTTAGCTAACATGACACAGAATGAGAGAGAATGCAGATTCATAAAATCTGAGTTGTACATTTCTCATAAAGAATATTGACTATATGATCAAACTAAACATATTTAGATATAATCTAGATGAATGTAAAGAATATTGTATTAAAATACGAAGACAGGGATATCTCAAATAACAATAAAGCAAACTATCTGGACTAATATTCACTGCATCAGATACTATGCTTTATGTGTCACATGAATTGTCTCATTTAATATCCATATGTAGATACTATTTTCCCCATTTTACTGAAAAGGACATTAAGCCTTACTTTAACAAAGCAAAGGTTCAAAATCAAGTCTCTCACACAAAAGTCCATTCTTTAAACACTAGCTTATATAATTTTCCATATATATATGTATATATGTATACACATACATATACACATACACATATATACGTACACACACACATATATATATATTTTCAAGAACAAAAAGCTTGAATATAAAAAATAAGTGCAACAGAAATGTTAATTGATCTGCTAACCAGGTTAAAACTAGTGCATTCCATATTCAATAGCTTTACTGGGGAGCTAAATATGTGAAATCACGTAGAATGGGATGGCAATAAAGACTGCTTAAAATATAAGAGAATACTCAGAAAAATACATGGAGAAAAGCAGAAGAGAATTATAAATTCCATGTTGCTTTAATAGTATTTTCTGAATCTTGTCCCAATTCTCACCAACTTCACAGATCCATTCACGCTGAAACAAAAATATCTCCTATCAATCACCTAAATTGAAACTTCAAAATCTAGCAGTACCAGATCCCATATCTAGATATCAGGTTCACTAGAGGTGTATTTTTCCTGTTAGCCCATATTCAAACATGAAAATTAGCTCATAAAACAGAATGACTTCTCATTCAGAATACCAATTTTAAATCTTTTTAAAAGCTGACAAGTAAATTAATAAATGAATGGTGATTCAGTGAGGCTGTCTCTCAACCACCAGATGAATGATAAACTGTCCTTTCTATTACTCTGAAATCCCAACCTTCCATCTCTCCTGGTTCACGCAGGAGCTGCCACTGGCAAGGTACTGTGCACTCTGCTTTGAGGAAAACAAACATGATCAAACTTGACGTGTGCTCCCAAGGAGCTGACCCAGGCAATAGTCCTCAACAAGAAGATTATTAAGAAAACAAAAAGGCAGCACATCGTAACACATGACTTAGTTTTATAAAAGTTAGTGGTTTAAAGGGGAGAAGAAAATTATAAAACAAGTCCTCAGGGAAGTTGGGGCACTTCATAGAGAAGGTGAGGACCAGAGCTAGGCTCCGAATTTTGGTGGAGCAAGAAGGGTAGTTAGAACGAAAGAGCAGAGAAATGAATGGATACAACATGTTAGGAGCCTATGAATACACAAAAAATAGGAGCTATAATTTATCTTTAAGCCAAGAATTAATACAGTTAATTGCATACCAAACTATCTGCCTGGACTTAAACTTTCAAAAGATACAATCTAAGTAGGATAATTTATAAATAATGAAGTGAAATGGCAAATGTGGCAATTCTCTACATTACTTGATTAATGTGAACAGCCAACTTCTATTTTCTGGCCACAAATAAATGGCTTGTTTGTCTAAATTCATCCAAGTATTTATTCAGTTCTCAATTTTTTTTCTGCCAACCTAAGAAATATGCTTAAAGGGAAATATGATCTCACAATGTTACCATATTTTAACACCAAGATCAAAGGGTGATGAACTGTATTGTTTGTCTGTCTTCTCACAAAAGTATCCCATGCTTTAGGCATTTACAGTCCAGATTTCCAAGAGGGTAAAATCACCCACGGTCATGGGCAGCTATTCCCAATCCAGAAGCAAGTCTTTTAAAAAGTCATCAAGGAGAACCCACGCATGGAATTAATTATCACCTACTTTACATCATCAGACGCATTAATTTAAGGCCTGCAAATTTCAAAGGAAGCTAGATGTCTGCACTGCTTTGAACACTTTGCATAACATGAGCAATCTCTCTAGTCATTACCTTTTAGATTCTGGCCTCATCTCATTTGCCAGTATCTTGATTTCCCCAATTAAGTACAGGAATATGAAAGGATGTTTTATATGTATATGTCACTTCAGAGTATCTGATTAACTTGGATATTTTATTTTCATCTTTCATTTCCTGAAATCATTATAATTCTGTCATTAATATCCTGACTCCACCTAAAGAGCTTATTTTAAGACTGACAGCTCAAACTTTACTCCCTAACTGACTTTCTATAATTGTTTTCCTTCTAGTAAATATACTGGGACTGGGAGATGATGATTCTGAAACCTGACCACTATCATGGGGACTTGAGTTCCAGTGGTAGGGAAGGGCTGCAGTACATTTCCCTTAATCCCATGACCAGAACAACCACTTTTGAGATGGTCTCTAAGGCCAAGGGTATCAACTGTAAACATAAGACTTTGCTGATCTCACTGGTCTCAATTCAAAAGAAAACAATTTGAAAGACTGTCTGATCTTTCTTTTCTTCATTAATCACTTCTCAGAGTTTGAGCTAAGAGACTTGCTGTCCTCATCCAGAATCAAAAAATAAAACAAGGTACAAGTGGTCATTGGATCTACTGTATATGATCTTTTACATTCTTATTCTGGAATCAAAAACCACACCACAAAACTACAGTCAGGAGATTTTGTCCCCTAGCTCAGTTATGAGGCTGTCACTGAGCTCTGCAGCAGAGCCTGGAGAAATGTCTTCTTCTAGAAAGGGTATTTACTGATGGGAATTCCCCCTCTGCACCAAGGCTGTGGTGGCAATAGATGTGTAAATAGCCAACTTTTGCTTACTGACCTAACAGCTCTTGCCAGCAGCCCCTCTCACAATCCAGGCTTCTTTCTCCTCACACACATACTGTGAAAGGAATTTTCAAACTACAGAGACAGATAAATTTGAACATTAATTTTCAAGGTCTCAAAAGAACAGAGCTGAGACTCAAACCCAGGAATCACAAAACTGTTGCTTACTATGTCTATGACATTTGATGAAAATAAATTATGATTTATTTAAATATTACTATTTAAATATTATCAAACATTACTTAAATAATAAATATATTCGTCATGATATTTATACAGAACATATTTGAGATCATGATGAAATATGTGATTCCCATATTGAGGATTATATATGTTTCTAAATGTAGCTCTGCCCCAAATTAGCCTTTATTGTAAACAAATCATTAAAGAAACTAGGCCATTTTATCACATTTTATTTTTAGTGTCCTAACGAAAAATAAATTTGGAAAATAGTTTCAGAATGAAAATTTAAAGTGTTTTTTTTTCCTTGAATAATAAGTAAAGTTATTATTGGAAAAAAAGAAGGAAGTGCAGGAACACATAACAATCACAACCAAAGTGAAAAACTTTTCCTCCCAACAGTTGCCCATAAAAATAAAATTAACATTTGTTTTATCTCATATGCTGAAGACTAAAAGGAGCAAAAGGCAAGCCTTTTACACTATTTGTGAAATGGATACCTCTTTCAGAAGCGCAGTAATTATTAAGCAGAAAACAGCTTAAGAGTTTTCAAAGAAAATGCACAGTTTCTAATTCTAAAAGTAGAAGGCATCCAACAGCTAAAATTTCCCATACCAACAAATGGATCTTCTATTAAGGATGGATTCATTAAGGAGTGGCTTTGGTTTAATTACTGGTCCTGTGAGAAACCAGTGATCTGAGAAACACTATCTCAACCTTCTGATCATTCATTTTGGGAGAGGGGCTCGTTCATCTCCAAAGATCTATGACTCTCTTGAGTTGCCACCACAGGGAATGTACTTTTTGAAAGTTCTAAATTAAATTAGTTAAAGACACATGATCAAGTCCTCCAAAACCTTATACCAATGGCCTTTAGAAATAACTGTGAATATCAGTATGATCTGAAATCCCCCAAGTCTTGAGGTAGTTTTTATGGATTGTCATTGGAATAAAAGCATTTATTTATGTCAATTCTTTTCCCAGACATTGACTTTTAATTAGATTACAGCTCTTTTAAGGATATACAATGACATTATAAAAACGCTAAAAAGAGCACATGCACTTCTAAATGTGCTACTGTTTAGTAGGCACATTATTAATTTAACTGCTGTAGAGATGGGAATAGTAACATTTTCAAAGTCATATTTCTGCAATTCTCCATATCAGAAAAAGAGATGAAAGGGAATTTGTAAAACTAGGACACTGACACTAGCTTGTAAAAATGGAAGACGAAGGGGCTTTACTGGCAACATGTGATATTCTTGTGGCTAAAGAAATAAGACACAGCTGAGCACAGTGGCTCACGGCTGTAATTCCAGCACTTTGAAAGGTTAAGGCAGGTGGATCACCTGAGGTCAGGAGTTTGAGACCTGCCTGGCTAACATGGTGAAACCCTGTATCTACTAAAAATTCAAAAATTAGCTGGGCGTGGTGACACACGCCTGTAGTCCCAGCTACTGGGGAGGCTGAGGCAGGAGAATCACTTGAATCCGGGAGGTAGAGGATACAGTGAGCTGAGATCGTGGCACTGCACTCCAGCCTGGGCAATAGAGTGAGACTCGGTCTCAAAAAAAAAAAGAAAGAAAGAAGACATTATCTGTTCATATTTCTATCTGAAATAATCAAGTAGTAGTCAATTCAGCAAATATTTGATGCGTAGCTACACTGGAAACAGATATGACCTGAACAAGGCCAAAAATTAACTCGGCTCAGAGGAGTCGTTCTCATCCTTGGTTGTATGTTAGAATTCCTGAGGAGTTCCAAAAAATCTCTATGCCAAGGCCTCCCCCTATACCAATTAAATCAGAATCTCTGGAAGTAAAGCTCATATATGAGCATTTTTTTTAATTCCTCAAATGATTCCAATGTGTAGTCAAGATTGAGAAACTGGCTGAGGAATAATATCAGCAATACAGTTATAACTCAGAATTCAAATGCAGAATAAAGCAATTTAGTGATTTTAGAATTACAGCTGAGCAATCTATGAAAGTTTCCTGGGAAAAGTAGAGCTCTGAAAGATGGATAGAGTTAGGAAATGTAGCTTATATGTATGTGTGTGAGTATACACATAATTGTAAGGGGTGCATACAGGTATGTAAGCAACATACACTAAGACTCAGGTACTTCAAAGAAGATGAAACAGTTGCAATAAAGAGCTGGCTACTACTACCATGTCAGAGTCAACCAAGAGACACTCAGCTCCATTCAGCTCAGCATTTGTTATGTCACAGAAGCAGGTTAGCAAGACATGCACCTTTCCAGACTGCTGATAACATTAGCTCTAGTTTAAATTCAGCTCTAGTTTAAACCATGCTTCCTCTCAGTCTCCTTGAGATACGCTCTTGAAAGCTTTCAGTTGTCTCTTCATTTCCCTTCTTTTGTATTACTACTACTTCATAAATAATAGCAACAAGAGATGGCATTTATTAAAAGTTTAATCTCTGCCAAGCACTATGCTAATTAAGTTAACTTTTATTTGCATGAAAACCTCCTGAGTTAGGTTCTATTATCATTATCTTCATTTTTTTAGATGAGGAAGCTGAGGCTTAGGTAAATAACTAGCCAGACTAACTGGTGGAAGTGATCACAGTGCATGTAGTGATCCTGTCTCCTGACCCCTAACACAATGCCATTCTTTAGTGTCATTTTATTTCCTACATCTATCTATCTGTCTATCTAATCTATCTATCTTTCTATCTAATCTATCTGTTTGCTGGTCTGTCCATCTAGCCCTCCATCCATTCACCCACCCATCCAGGAATATGAAAATGTGTGATCCAGAGTGTGTGGTAATTCCTCATGACCTTCATATAGACAGAGCCCATCCATCCTCTAGAGGGAGCTGGGCTGAAAAGAGTGCTTGTGTATGTAAGGAGGAGAAGAGTGGTGGATGAGTTAATATGCTACAACTAGAAACTTTCCTAAATTCAGGACTTGAGAAATCATATTATAATTGCCATAACGAAAACCATGTTACTTTTGTGCACAACTGTGTAATCTCCTAAAATGTTTCTTTACTGACTTGGCATTTCAGTAGCTTAGGATTAATTATATTATCAGTTAGAAACTTCACTTCACCTCACCATCTTAGGAATCTTAATAAAAACTGTAAAGAAAATTAGCCTACTTCTTGATCCAGAGTAGTAACCTCTATTCCTACATTTTATTCCTTTACACTGACAACTCAATCCATGGTTACTTGATTAGTTTTTCCAGCACAAAAACTGGTTAAAAATCCAGTGAAAATTTAAGGTGACCTTCAGGGTTTCTCTTTCATCTCCAGAGAAAATGAGATTTTAGACATTTGATTATAGCCAGTTGAAGGTGAAGCTAGGATCAAAACTCCCAATTCTCTGGCTAAACACATCACACAAATTCTCTTCTACATGAGATGTACATTGAAATATATTTAAATTGAAACCAACATGAAAACTGACAAGAAAAAATATATATACAATGCTAAATATACCTAAAAATGTGAAAGCCTCTACAAAATGAGTAATAGACTTGAGGGAAAAGTTACTAAACCAAGGAAATCAGAATTCTTTACCAAAAACGTTTTTCTTTTTTGTAAGAAATTAAGCAATAGTCTCATCAGAAAACTAAAATTTAACGGCAAATTATTTTCAAAGGAAAAGTTCAAGCATGAGCTGCTACATAAATTTCAGAATTCTCTGATTATAAGAAAATGACTTTGTTAATGAATAGTCAAATTAATTAAACATGCAGTTCAAATAATCAAAGATTTTGGGGGTCTTGTTTTTTACCTGGTTGCCAAAGAGGTTGAATCCATTAATTGCTTCTAGAGCTGCTTTTGCTAAACCAACAGAGCTAAAAGAGAAAAGGAAATACTTTATTACTCTAATGTATCTGGCTACAAAATAAGAACCATTATCTGATCAATATTCACAAGCAAGTTTCTTTATTAACATTTATAACTTCTATAAGAAGAATAATGTTTGAGAGATTTCATTCTGACATTTCACTATTTTAATTTTTCTTTTTTATAGTTAGTGATCACCCGGGAAAAATATTTCTAGATTCACCTTGATCTAAACTAATGGTCATACTATTGATGGGAGTAGTTTTAGTTTCAGAATCATTTTTATTCACTAACTCAATAAAAAAATATGAACTTTAGAGGAAGGTATATTATGATGATAAGTGCAGCAATTAGCAGGTTGGGCATCATTAGTTCAGATAAATGTAACAGAACTTTTCTGACGTCAACTCTGAGGCTTAAGAAAGATCTTGCACATCATACAACTATTGGAGTTTGGCTAAAGGAATCCATTCAAATACTCTTGCCTAAGATCCAAAAAGTAGGCATTATTTTATGTTCACAGAACAACTGATCACCTTATCTTTCATTTCTTGCTGTATTCTTCCCTTTATAATAAAATGAATACTATTTCCCTCAGTGTCCTACTCTTTTGGCCTCTCAAATGCCATATACTATAGTGCTGGAAAATGGGAAGACCTATTTCATTAAAAATATGATATCATCTTTTAATTATCTACTTTTAAATATTTTAGATCTAACACCCAGTTTAATTATTGTAAATTTTTATTTTTTTACTGAGAGCAAGTGTATCTGCCATTAACATTATTTAAAGCTAGTGATCTTTCAACTATTTAGCATTTCTCTGAAATAGGTTATCAAAGCAGCACCTTCAGGTATTACCTGGGAATTTGTTAGAAATGCTAGTTCTCATTCCTTCTTGGGAGTAGGGCTCCATATCAGTGTTAAAAAGCCTTCCAGGTGTTTGAATACACTTTAAGTTTGAGAGCTACTGTTCTAAGCTATTCATGTCATCATAATCTACATCCTATAAGTTGTTCACATAACCTGTTTTTAAGAAATCATCACTTTAATTGCAGGAGAGTAAATAGGTCAGACACTTATTTTAAAGATACATGGATGGGAAGATGAAGTAGATATAATTTCTTCTCACTAAGTACAACCAAGACTCTTGGACATTACCTATAAAACAAACATAAAAAGACTTAGAAACATGGATAGAAGGCAGTCTAGCTATGAACTTTAGGACTCTATGAATGACACTATGGTAAGTGCCGTGGGTTTCCTTTTTGCCTTATTTATACCAGTCTTAAGAGCCAAAGGGGCCAACCACTGAGAAATGTCAGCACAAGCATACAAAAAAACCCCAACAAAAGGCTGCTCTCTCTAGCCAAAGGACAGGAAAAGAGCAACCTAGCAAAACAGAAAGCTTTTGGACAATAACCACTCAGAAAAAACTTTACCCTACCCCCATCCATTCCAGCAAAGGCTGAGTAGAAACCTAGATTTCTACATTCATGAGTCAATTATGAGGCACAACACTCAACTCCCAACTCTCTTAGTCATGGTGGTGTCAGAAAACCACAAGGAAAAAGTCAACACTTTCATTTCCAACAGGTGATAAGAAACCATTTCATTACCAATCAAGGGGTCACACCTTTTCTCCTGCCCTATAAATGGAGGCCAAATAAGAGCCTGTTATGAAGCACTCCTGTATTTCCCAGCCCAGGAGTTATCAGTGGAGGCCTACAAGGGAACTGGATATTCCATTCAGACCCAGTAGTAATGAGGAGTTTCCAGATTGGGTGTCAACAAAAATAATGGCCTTATATTCCTACCTGGCAATAATGAGGTGATGTCCCCTCACCCCTTCTCCTGCCAGAATGGTATAAAAAAAAATACAGCTAAAACAGAAAGTTAAAATAAGATCTAGGGTCTTATACTATTATGCCCCAAGTACCTATATGTCAATCAAAAAATATTCCTCATACCTAGAACCAGAAAGATCTCAAACCAAATGAAAAAAATAAAATCAACAGATGTAAGTAGATTGAGAAGAAAGAGTTGTTAGAATTATCTGAGAAAGATTTTAAAGCAGCCATGCAAAAATCCTTCAATGAGCAATTACAAACATGCTTGAAACAAATGAAAAAATAAAAATCCTTAAATAAGAAACAGAAAGTATCAGCCAAGTTTTTAGAATTGAAAAATATAATAGTGTAAATAAAAAGATCAGTAGATAGGCTCAATGGAAGAATGAATAGGACAGAGGAAGGAATAACCAAGATGGAAGACAGAACAACAGAAACTATCCAGTTTGAATAAAAGAGAAAAAATATAATGAAAACTGAAATGAACAGAGCCTCAGGGATGTGTAAGATCATAAAAAAGTATCTAACATTCATGTCGCTTGAGTTCATAAAGGAAAGAGACAGGACAAAGCAGAAAAATTCCCACTTATCAAGAGTCATAAACCTAAGATTCAAGAAGCTGAGTGAACAACAATAAAATTTAAAATATCCATGCTAAGACACATCATAACTTCTGAAAATTAAAGATAAAGAAAAAATGACATATTACGTGTAAGGGAAAAATAATCAGAAAGACAATGGATTGTTTATTAGAGACCACAAAGGCTAGGATGTAGCACAAGAGTTTCCAGTGATTGAAAGAAAAAAACTACCCATTCAGAACATTATACCAGTAAATGCATCATTTAGCCATCCAAGACAGTCTCAGATGAAGGAAAAATAAGAGATTCTATCATGAGCAGCTCTACCCTGAAAGAATGGCTAAACTCCATTCTCTAAACAGAAAGGTAACTTTTTAAAAAGAGGAAAAAATAAGTATCAGAACACCCAAAAAGAAATAAAAAACATGTTAAGCATAAATATGGGTAAATACAATAGATGTTTCTTTTCCTCTTGAATTTTATCTTTGACAGTTGAAGCAAAAATTACAACATTGATATAATTCTGAATGTGTACGGAGAAAATATTTAAGATACCTATTATAAATGCAGAATGGTAATAAGACATAAATGAAATAAAATGATGACATCGCTATACTAAAGTGTTACCCACAGCAATCATTAAAAAGTTATACAAAATGACTCAATCAAAACTACTACTGATAAATCAAAAAGAAACTTAAAAAAATCTTTAAGTGGCCACAGGAAGGAAGGAAAAATAAAACAGAGAGATGAAAAATAGAGAGAATAAACAAAAAATAAAATAAAATAGTGTTAGCTAAGTTAGGAAAAGGTGGAAAACAGTTAAAAATAACATTAAAAAAGAAAAATAAAATGTCAGACTTATGCCAAAACGTATGAGAAATTAATTAAATGTAAAAGCATGAAATATACCAATTAAAAGAAATAGATTTGCAGAGTTGAAACATACTTCATCTTTTTATATATAAATAAAAATGTCCCCTCAAATATAACAATACAGACATGCTGAAAGCTAAAGGATGGAAAAAGATATATCACACAAACATTAATCAAAACAATGCAGGAGTGGCTATATTAATAATAGATAAAGGAGACTTCAGAGCAAAGAGAATTATCAGAGACAGAGAAGAATATTACAGTATATAACAAAAAGGTCAATCCACTAAGATGTCAACAAACAACAGAGCTGCAAAACATGTGAAGTAAAACTGATAGAACTGAAAGAATAGACAAAACCGCAGTTATAGTTGGATATTTGCACACTTTTCTCTCGACAATTGGTAGAACAACTAGACAGAAAACCAGCAAGGATACAGAGGAATTAAATGAGGATTGACATTCAAAATCCTTAAAAACGCATTTGCAAACAATATTCAGCAATACGTAAGATGAATTATCACCATGACTAAGTAGGTATTCCAGGGAGACAAGGCTGGTTCAATAATAAAAAACAAATCAATATAATCTACCATGTCAACTGACTAAAGCAAAATAAAATAACATGGTCATATTAATTGATGCAGAAAATGCATCAAACAACATCCAACATCCATTTATGACAAAACTCTCAGAAAACTAGGAATAGAGGGAAATTCTGCATCTTTGAAATTATGTATCTTTTTTTAATCTATAAAAATGTAAGGGGTACCATCAAGCTACCAATGACCTTCTTCATAGAACTGGAAAAAAACACCTTAAACTTCATATGGAACCAAAAGAGAGCCCACATAGCCAAGTCAATTCTAAGCAAAAAGAACAAAGCAGGAGGCATCACACTACCGGACTTCAAATTATATTAAAGGCTACAGTAATCAAAACAGCATGGTTCTGGGACCAAAACAGAGATATAGACCAATGGAACAGAACAGAGCCCTCGGTGGCAACACAACATATCTACAACCATCTGATCCTTGACAAACCTGACAAAAACAAGCAATGGGGAAAGGATTCCCTGTTTAATAAATGGTGTTGGGAAAACTGGCTAGCCAAGTGCAGAAAGCAGAAACTGGACCCCTTCCTGATACCTTACACTAAAATTAACTCCAGATGGATTAAAGACTTAAACATAAGACCTAACACCATAAAATCCCTAGAAGAAAATCTAGGCAAAACCATTCAGGACATAGGCGTAGGCAAGGACTTCATGACCAAAACACCAAAAGCATTGGCACCAAAAGCCAAAATAGACAAATGGGACCTAATCAAACTCCACAGCTTCTGCACAGCAAAAGAAACAGTCATTAGAGTGAATTAGCAACCAACAGAATGGGAAAAAATGTTTGCAGTCTACCCATCTGACAAAGGGCTGAAAGCCAGAATTTACAAAGAACTAAAACAGATTTACAAGAAAAAAACAAACAAGCCCATTCAAAAGTGGGCGAAGGATATGAACAGACACTTTACAAAAGAAGACATACATGAGGACAACAAACATATGAAAAAATGCTCATCATCACTGGTCATTAGAGAAATGCAAATCAAAACTACATTGAGATACCATCTCATGCCTGTTAGAATGGTGATCATTAAAAAATCTAGAGACAACAGATGCTGGAGAGGATGTGGAGAAATAGGAAC